TGATTGAAAGGGAAGGCACATGCCAGGGTTGTATCCTTTCATGATACTTTTTGTATCTGTATGCTGAGCAGCTAATCTGAGAAAGTGGAATATGAGGAAGCCCGTGCTCTCAGGGTTGGGGAAAGCTTATGAACCACCTGTGATATGCAGATGACACAGCTGCTTGTTGAAAGTGAGGAGGACTTGAAGCACATGCTGATGAAGATCAAGGACGGTAGCCTTCACTGTGGATTGAAAGTTAATGTAAAGAAAACAAACGCCACAGGCTCTTCCACTTGATGTGAAAGACTTTATTGGGTTTTTTCCCTTCTTAGAACAGTGGTCCCATATATTATTTAATCTTTTGTGGTTGGCTTATTTCACTCAGCATAGTGTTCTCCAGGCCCATCCATGGGGTGCTCAGTGGGTTTTGTCATTGCTTTTTAGTGAGGCATAATATTTCATTGTGTGTATGTACCAACATTTGTCTCTTTTTTGTCCCTGGTTCACTTTAGAAACATCATTATCATTTTTATGACAGAGAACAGTATAAATCATCCCCCTGGTTCATAATGTAATTATTTTAATAGTGTTAATTTAGCCAATGGTATAGAATTTAAAACACTGTTGAGAAAAGGAAATTATACAAGTATAGTCTGACTTCTCAGACCACAATGCATTTATTTTAATAGTGTTAATTTAGCCAATGGTATAGAAAATAAAACACTGTTGAGAAAAGGAAATTATACAAGTATAGTCTGACTTCTCAGACCACAATGCATGAATTGTTGACTATGTACCAAATTTTCTTTATCCGCTCTTCGATTGATGAGAATGTAGGTTGTTTATATCTTCTTGCCACTGTGAGTAGTGCTGTGATGCACATGAGTGCACATATGTCTGTGTTGTGACTCTTACTTCGTTAGAGTAGGTACCTAGCAAAGGGACTGCTAGATCTTATGGCATTTCTATTCTCAATTGCTTGAGGTAGGGCTTTAGCACTTTCTAAAATGATTACACATAATCATATGCTACCTCTTGAAATGGCTGAGTATCAACTAATTCTTTTTGGTCCAGTAACTCTGTGTATTCTTTCCATCTTATTTTAATGCTTCCCACAGTGTTCAGTATTTTGCCCATAGAATCTTTCAATATTTGCAACTCGAGGGTTGAACTTTTTCTTCAGTTCAGCTTGAGATATGCTGAGCGTGTTGTTGTTTTTGTGATAGAAATATTTAGCAATCAGATTCTTGTACATTTGAGTAGTTATCTATAAACATATTAACCTAGCTAAAATCTATCTGATTATATGTTATTTTAGATGGCCTGCCACCCTACCTAGATTATATATGATTTTAGATGGCCTGTCGCCGGATACAAATAATAAAGAAGTTAGGGAAAATTGTAGCTTCCAGCATCACAACAAGAGGCAAGTCACCATAGTATGACAGATGAATGGTGGTTTAGAAATAGAGGAGTCAGAAAAGAATAAGAGGAGGAATTGTACATAAGGTATTTTAGTGGCAACTATATGATTACAAAGACCCATTATGAAATCCAGCTATTGTTACTCAAATAAAAAGAGTATTATACCAGTAGAATTATATATTGAGCTAATGATGTATATGGACTAGATATTAAGTTGTTAATTACACATTTTTATTTTACAGTAAGAAACCAGGGAACATTATCAACCTTTTGAAAACTCAACAAACATTACCATTTTTCTACTTCTGTGAACAGGTAAGACCCTCTCTACTATTAAAAAGTTATCAGAATTGTGAAAAACTACTCTTTGCTAACCATATGAGGGGACTTCAAAAAGGTCCTGTAATATCCATTATCTTTTAACTTAAGTTCCCACAGCCTTTTGAAGTTCATGTGGGTGTATACATTTACATATACAAACACATATTTACATTTATCAATATTTACAAGGGCCTTAAGTAACTTTTAGTTTGATGTGATAAAGGAGAAATACACTTATGAATACTATGGTTAATAAGCTTTGAGTTATTATAATAGAGCTTCCTAGTGTTTGGACTGATTTAATAGTAAAAGAATGTTAAGACTCCTCTCTGGGAAACAAGGATGGACCTGAAGCTGCTTCTCCTGTTGTTATACTCACTCACAGCCCTCGGACAACAGTAATAGTTCTTCCCCTCTCACTGGTGCCAGGTTTGGTGTTATGTAGATCACTTTACATAAATTAAATAGTTTATGTCTCCCTGAAACCTCCTGAATTAGATATGAGTATCATCTCTATATTGTAGACCAAGTAGAAAGAGGAGGCAGCTAACTGAAAGCGTTCACCCAACATTGTGCAGGCCTGGGAACAGCAGAAACTATAAGGAATATCGGACCCAGCTTTTATTGTGAAAGCATTTTCATGGTGTGATAGAAGTAACTAGCAATCAGATTCTCCTACATTTTGAGTGGTTATCTAGAAGCACGCTAACTCGCTTCAAGCTATCCTAATAAAGAAGAAGAAGAAAAATCCATTCACAGGGAGATGCGTAGGAAACAAACGTACTTTATGTCAGCACTTTCTACTTACGGGGTGTTGTGTGAGTCAACAA